GACGTCACAAGAACCAACTGCGAAGAAGCATCGTCAACGCACCAAGTCTGTATAACGCCAGCGCACCAAGGTAAGTGGCAAATCAAACCAGCTCTGATACCAAATTTTAAGGAACATGAATATGGACGAAGCACAGAAATCCAGATTGCAAAATCACACTGAAGTCCAAGTAGTCAAAGCAAGAGCAGATAGCACAATGGAACCGAGTAACCATCCATTTGAGAACAATACAGAAGAATCGTGAGTCAATGTCCAAGCCCAACAGGTCACCCTACCTACTCTACAGCCTAACACTACAACTACAGTATGAAAGCAACCAGACAACTTGACGACCAGCGAGTGATGATGTCAACCCCAATGCCGACCTCCCATCTCCACCAGGTACGTCTCCCTCTTCATCCACACTCTCCCTTGTTATCCCACACAGCGCCCTTCACCTCCGAAGAACCACCTTCGCCCTTCCTCCTCTGCGCCCACAGGCAGCCCGGCTTTGGCCGCCAGCGCCCTGCGCCCAGGCAGCGCACTACCGCTTAGCGCTTGCCTGCCTACCCCAGCCTTAGCGCAGTGCAGCACACATGCAACACAGCAGCGTGCCAGCCCTGCTCGCAATGGCCAAGATCCCTGCCCACTCGCCCTGCTTGCCTATATGCCAGTGTTGCGTGTGGACGGCCTCCCTTGAGCCTGTGCCTGGGCCCCAGTACCTGTACCCAGGCCCGATGCAGTTGGGGGCCCAGGAGATGCAGTTGTGCCTCTTTCATCAAGGCCTGCGGCCAGATTCAGATAGTGGACCGGTTTCCCATTGGCATTTCCGGCCTCTATATCCAGCATGCATTGTCGGCCTCACGTTTATGTGCCCAGGGCCTAACCAACTCGGGGCCCTGGGATTTCTGCATTTGCAGAGCTCCGATACTCGGTGCACACCAACCAACTGGCGTGCTGCAACTGTATGGACCCCACTTCGTGAAATGTTTGCACAGAGGGCTCTTGTTGATTTGCTGGCCCGCCTTCACTTAGGGCAGGCACGAGGCCTGCTGGGGCCTTAGCCCAGAACATGTACATCATGGCAATGCCCCTTCTTGAGGGCTCAATCCTCACAGTGGTTCCGGCTCCTACCATTCTGGGGAGCAACAGTCCGGCTCCTTTTCCCCCGGCAAGTCAATGGAAAGTACAGAGACGTAAACCATTTGATTCCAGCTGATGCTTAATTCGCGTGTTTCTCTTTGGCGTCCTTTTGTTTCTTTCCTGTTTGTTTTCTGTTTTTCCTTCTTTTTTGGTTCTTTGCAGAGAAAACTGTTGAAGGAACAATAGCAGGGATACTGTCTACGTTGCTGGGCTGTGCGCTTTTGACTCTATGGACACCCCAAGATAGCACTCTGAAGGTGAGTGAGATTCTGTAATCTCTTCTCTGTTTATGGCTCTTCTGAGTTCGTTTTTTTTTCCGGT